CAAGGGCACTCTATTGTGTGTGGCTCAGGAAAGAGAGGGCAGGTCCCTCATCTAGCCCAGTAGGCTGGAAAAGATACTCAGGATTTTACTCCAAGTCATGTGTGAAATAAGAGATTGGCATGAACAACAACTGCTGAAAACTCAAAGGAAAAAACAGCTAAAACACCAGAGTAACTAAAATAAGCTGATATGCTCTTCAGATTGGCTTGTTTTTCATTAGAGCTTCAAATTCTCTTATGAAAAAGTAAAACCAAAACCAAACCATGCTCTTGCATGATTTACCATCTATTCTTCGTGCTGACAGAGTAGAATTTTTTTGAATCCCAAGTTTTGCTCTTCTCCTGTCCTCCTGATGGACCCAAAGCCCTGACCTGCTCTTCTACGATGAAGGTGTTTTGACACCTCCTTTCCAGTAGCCAAAGGTGATGTCTACTGTTTGTCAGAAAGGGGGATGTTACTTCCTACATTTATGCAGATGACAATATTCTTCCTATTAGCTCTTATTTTAGAATGTCTTCTAATCTTCTAATCTCCACACTGAGATTTCAGGGACAGTCTTAAGTCAAATATTTCCTGGCCCTTGAATACTTGATTTGGTAAACTCAAATTTCTCTAATTGATTTTAATGTTTTTAATTTTGACCGGCTTTTTTTAAAGGGAAAAAAGTATCCCAAGTCCTATGTTGAGACATCTTCTTCTTCCTTTATTTGTACTTTACTCTGGTCCTTGCCAGCAGGTCCAAACTCTTTCTCAGTTCATTGTCAAAGCCCCTTCACACGCACACTGCTTCTCATTGTGTTTCCTGGTACAGTCAGTCCCTGTCTCCTTCTCCCTCAATGCTTTCTTTTGGTCACTTTGACCTCCCTGCTCCTCCATACACTCTAGCATGGGGAAAAGACTTGACGGAGGCACTGGTAGGTGATTTATTCTTTCCCCTCAGCCTTTTCTTCTGTTTCTTGACTCCCAGTGTCCAATCAGATATTTCTCTGTTCACTACTAAACTCCAGACCTAGCCCCATTTCCCCGGTCTGATTCTGGTCCTGCCATCTTGGCAAAGCTTTTGTCACTTATTCCTTTCTACTGTTGGGAGTCCACCAAGAAGCAAACTGGGACAGTGAAGCAGCAGCTTTTTTGACATCCACATCCCTTGACCCACAGCACCCATGAGCAGTGAAGTGGATTGCTCTGTGACCAGGTCTCTCGTGAAACTCTGTCACAGGTGACTGCACAGGATTTAAGCATCAGTGTGAGGATCTGGCTGGTGAAAACTCCAGCACATCTGTACTGTGAGCAAACTGCTTTCTTCCATCCAAGAGTCAATACTTTTACTTGATATGGTGCGATTTTAACAGGGATGACAAACAGTTCTCTTCCCAGGAAGATGACTCCTGGCAGGTTAGAAGCCTACGTGGCTATAGATCTCTGAAATGGGTTGTCTGTCCCTGTGCATGTCCCTTGATTCCCTTGCCCCTGGGACACGCCTCCTACAATGCATCTGTCTTTATTTTTAGTGATCAGTGCCTTTTCTTCCAGTGTCAGTTTTAGAAATCAATCAGCTCAGTTTGGTGGTGGTTTCTGTCGTTCTTGTTGTTGTTAAAGGTGGAATCTAGTACGTGAACTATCTACATTTACAGCTAAAGTTGGTAAAACTGAAATGGCTTGCCAAAATATTTTGGTACTGCAAATGTCAATCCAGTCTGTACTATTCCTTAAGATGGGTTTCAGTGAATCCTAAATGTTGTTTTATTGTGCTAGGGCTAGGAGGGCTCTACTATAAGCTAAAGTCTGGGTGTTAAGCATGACCTGAACAGATAACAAAAAGATAGTCCTTGCCCTAGAGAAATTATTATTAAAATATGAAATACACTAATTCAATACAGATGGACGAGGAGAACAAGTTAATTTATACTTACAAGCTCTTAGGGTGCTGGTATCTCAACTGTAAAAGATTCGTATTGCAGCAGAGAAGTCTTTTAATGATTAATGCTTGACAGTGTTTATCGGGAGTGTGAGAAGTAACAGAAGAAAAGCTAAAAAGGATGTTTATTCAAAAGAACAACCCATGGGGAGTGGAGTCTGCTTCTTGGAGTTACTGGGCACCAAAGCCAGCTCAGATCTGGTCACTGATGCACTTATACTTCTTTTTTAAGGCTTCTCCTCTATTGGTTTGGTGGTTTCTGCTGTAGCAATTCCTGTAACATGCAACTCAAATCATGGGTTACCATAATTTAAAGGCACATTAATTACAATCTCCAACCCTAGTCCTTTTGTGCCAGGTTATAGGACTTAACATTGTGATGAACTCCTCCCCTTGTTTCCAGCCTGCAGCAGGGTTTCCTGCTAAAATCCACCATAAGTATAGTACATCACAGTCCTCCACAGGCTGCAGGGGGACAGCCTGCTTCACCATGGTCTGCACCAAAGGCTGCAAGGGAATCTTTGCTTCCCCTGCTCCAGCATGGGGTCCCACCCATGGGAGATAGTCCTCCTTGAACTTCTCCAACCTGGATCCTTCCCATGGGCTGCAGTGCTTAAACTGCCCCAGTATGGCACCCCCATGGGGTCACAGGTCCTGCCAGCAAACCTGCTCCAGCATGGGCTTCTCAGGGGGTCACATCATCCTTCAGGCATCCACCTGCTCTGGTCTGTGGTCCTCCGCAGGCTACAGGTGGATTTCTGCTCCATTATGGATTCCTCCGTATGTCACAGTCCCTTCAACTCAAGTTCACACCAGAGTTCCACCCTGTCCAGCACAGCAGCACAGACACAGCAGCAGGACTCTGGTCACCTGCCAGCCTAGGAGCATCACCATGGCTGTTATTGAAACGTCCCCAGGCACAACACAGTGAGCAGTACAGCAAGCAGTGAAGGGAAAAAGCGCCACTAATGAGCAGTAGACCCTAATATACAGTCAGGAATGCATACATTTACATACAATCATATTGGAGGGTAAATCCATTGATTTGCAAGACCTTTTTAAATGGTTTAAAGCAGTATTTAGACTATAGATGCTTGTCCTGACAGCTGTACATATGTAAAAGAGGCAGGACTTTCATGAAAGCCCTTGTCACTTGCCTATTGGAGGAAACAGGAGGCTTTCCATTAAATTCAGATTTCAGACTGATTTTTAATCTATTAGCTCATACTCTAAATATGCCACAGAACTCAAGAAGTGTTTTTCCCTTTATTTGTGTACATTGTATAACATGGACTAGTGTCAGTCAGACAAGACAAAATATTTTTCCCTTTTAAGGTCCTCATCCATAGAGGGAAAATGGCACTTCTGTTTCTACCCTTCTTTTTCATGATTTCAGCTTATTTTATTTTTTACCTTTTTTTTTGCCTTTTTTTGTCTTTTTTTCCCCTCATAAAATATCTCCACTTGAAAGTTTTTTTAATTAAGGATTCAGCTGGGGATTTATTAAATAAATACAGTGTTCAACAGTTTACAATAAACAGGAATGAGGATTTGATCTCAGATGACTCAGGGGACTTCACATGCCGTTGTTACTGCTAAGCCTTGCATTTATTTTAAAAACAGCTGTCATAGAAGGAGTGAAACTAGTAAACCTATGAGTAATTCTTCCTCCCTTAGTTCACCCTTAATTCCTAAACCGTCATTGGAGAAAGATAGATTTTTAAGTCTTCAAAGGGCTTCAGCTGTTCAGATTCAAAATGTTTGAGAGAATCATTAAAAACTAACACTAATCCTACTGCAATGAAGTTGAACAGGTAGATTTCTACAATCAAATACAAGATTAATTCCATATTCAAAATGGCAACACTAAAAAGAACTGCAGAAAATGCAGTGCTATTACAGTGAGTGCAAGACCAAACAGGTTTTATGATGACTAATTAAATGAATTGTTATACAAATTGTTATACAAATGTATGCTCCTTTGTGCTCTCACTATCTTTCTGGCTGAACAGGCTGCACTATATCTTTTTCCACTTCTGTACATACACATACTTTTAGAGCTGTGGAAACAGATATCTCACTTGCCTTAAGTCTGCTCTGCAATTGTGGCTGTGATGGAAAAAAAGTTTTCTTCTACTACCAGAGTCTGTATTTTGGTAGCGACAAGGATTTTTAATCACAGAATTATATATTTGCTCTTCTGCAAAAGGAACAGGGAAAAGAGACAAAATACAAAAACAAAATATAAGAAAGAAAAAGTCTATGATGAAAAATGAGATGTTATGCAGTTTATTAATTTTTGTTCATAAAAATATAAATATGTCTCTAAGGATTTGCCTCAGATGAAAGATATTCTAAAAGAATACCATATCAATGGCCATCACGGGTATTTTCGCACATAAAAAATAAAAAGGATCTTTATGCACTTGATGAGTAATTGTGTAACATTTTATTGGGTAAAAAAAGTCATTTTGAGGAGGCTACTGTGTTACATTGCATTTTTTACAGCTTATGTACAATTTCTTTGTGGTATATCATCTTGTACAATATTTATGTGCTGAATGTAATTGAAATGCACAAAAAATATTCAGATTTTCCATGTTACTGTGAAAATGCAAACCATTTAAAATGTTGTTCAAAATAACTGGAGGTATTCTATAATTGCTCAAATGCAGTTATCAACTAAAGATTAAGCTCATATTTGCTCTGTAACACCTGTTGCAATTTGGTATTTTAGGTGTCATGACAGATACAATGAAGTAAAATGTTCAGCTGGCTTATGGTTTTCTGTAATATTTTCTGGTATCTTGAAAGAGTTTTTCTTTCAAGTCATTGGTAATTGGTAAAAGAGATTAGGTTATTTGGTATAAATTTCTAGTATCACATGTTATGTATTTGGATGGATAACACAGACATGAAAAAGTAAACCTGAGGACAAATAAGCAATCAAGTGATTTACTTTAGTAGCTAATTATCTTAGTCTGCGAATGGCAGGTCAGTGCAATTCATATTAATTTTTAATGCTATTTACAATGGCATTAAATAAGTTGCAATATAAAAATGAAGATGGAAATGATATTCATTAAGTTAAACTACTTCTGACTGAAAACACATTGAAATTTGATGACATTTCTTTCAAAGATACCCATTTCAAAGGAAATCCACAGGGAATAAGCTGTGAAAAAACTTCTAAAGCCTTTTGCCTGAAGTATTTCCCAACAAAGACATAAATCACAGGGTTGATGCAACTGTTGGTGGTAGCCAGCATATAAGCAAACTGCTCCCCAAAATTGAGCAGTTCCTCCCAGAAGCAGCCTTTGATCACTTCTGTATGGTATAATGTATCAAGGAATACAAAAAAATGGTGAGGAGTCCAACAGAAAAGAAACATCAGTATCACTGTGAGGATCAGCCTGGTAGCTTTCGTGCCTTTGTGCCCCTTGCAGTCCTTTGTCCCGAGTGCTCTTCGTGCTCTTGTTTTTTTTTGTAGGGACCTAATGGTAGAGAAATTAAGGGAGATGATTGCTGTAGATGGCAACACAAATCCGACTACACTGCGTACCAGGCTTTCAGCTGTTTTCCACGATGGGGTGGGGAAGTCCAAAGTGCATGCTGAAATATTCCACAGGGGATAGTCTTTCACGGTCCGAAACATAAAAACTGGGATGCTGAGGAGGATGCCAAAGAACCAGATGAGCAAGCAGATCCCTTTGGCAATAGTTTTGCTCCGTATCCGTCTGTGGTTCAAGGTATGGGCAAGAGTCAAGTAGCGATCCACGCTGACTGCCACCAGCAAGTAGATGCTGGTGTACATGTTTAGGCTGATGGATGCACTGTTGCTGCGGCAAAGGAAACTGCCAAATGGCCAGTTAAATTCATTCCTGATGTTCTCTGCCCAGAAAGGGAGGCCCATGAGGAAGATAAGATCAGCAACAGCTAGGTTCATCAGGTAGATTTCAGCTATCTTCAGGGGGTCCTTGTGCAGTGAATAAATGAGGAGAACAAATACATTTCCGGGCATTCCAATAGCACAGACAGCGTTGAGGTACTTGGGCACTATATAATACACGATGTCCCACCAGTCATCCTGCTCTGGGCAAATAGCTGAATTGCTTCTGTTTTCACTCTGGTTTGAGGAGGTAATATTCAGTAGAGGAGTTTCAGTCATTTTTTTAAAAATTCCGAAGTGAACAGAAGACGTCTTTCAAATGAGAGCGAATGACTGCAAAGAAGAAGCATACAATTGCAACAGTTGTCTCCCATGAGTGCTGTAACAAACTTTTTAACTGCTGGAAGTTCTTTTTAGTCCTCACTGATTATTATAGGCTAGATCAATCCATACTTGTTATGTGCAACAGTGAGAAATGTTCACAGTATTAGCAAGGATGTAACTTACTCTACATCCTATGAAATTTCCTCTCCTTGCTTCCATTGTTTAAAGTGGCACAGCGGAAGGAAAGTACCAAATTAGTGTAAGTAGTTCTGTATGTCTCTTCCAGACTGATGACAGAAACAGACACGGGAGAATTCCATCTCCCTGAGAGTAGAGGGAGTCACGCTGCTGACACAAAGCCAGCTTTGCATTGTTCCCTGCCCTTTCTCTTACTCTTATTTACTATGCTGTGTATACTATTATATATATATAAAATATATATATTAATATATTATTGTATTCTATCATCCTGCTTAAGCAGGATGATGCCTGTTTCCCCAGAACTGAAAAAGCTGCTCACTCTCTATGGACATCACTTGTTATTTGAACTTTGCATTCTTTTACTCCTTCTCAGTTTCTCCCATCCTGAACTTCGGGTTCAAAATTGCTTAGATTAGACAGTTTATTGCCCTCAAATGTCAGCAGTTTGAATAATAAAACATGACTCCTCCAAAACCTTGTGCTCAAAATCTTGCCTGGAGGAAAAGTCTCTGCAGCTCTAAATTTACTCCTCTACAGTTCAAAAACTTCATTGAGTTCAGCTGGAGAGAGGCTGTCCCAGTCTCCCAAGTGAGAGGACAGGTAAACCCTTATCCTCATGAAAATCCACTGAGTTGTCAGAGCTGACTCCTGCATTGACTTCATTTTTCTGGTGTTGCCATGCTCGACCATAGTGCCTGTATCTTGTTTTTTACAGGCATTCAGTCTCAGAATCATTATGGCAGGCAAGATATTACTGAGCCTGTGGTGTCATCTAACACTTCAGGCAAGTAGAGCATGTCAATCATAAAAAAGAATGCATTTGAAAAAAATCAGTATTTTGCTATCAGTCATTGTGAATGTTAACTTTCTGCTGCAGCTATTTAACTTTGCTCTTTCAGTTTCTGTAATTTTACACAGCTAAGGATGGAATTTCCGAAGACAGCATTTAGGACCATCGTTCATCTCTTTTACATATACATGTAAAAGTGATATATGTATCAGTGATATATGTATCTGAGCAGCTTGCCATACTTCTCTCTGTGACACCTCTAGGAATTAGTTAAGTACTGATATTCCACATCATGCTATTTGGTACTAATGCACAGAACATTTTTCACCATTGTAGAATTAAGTGAGCAGCTAAATTGTATCTGAGTTCATAAACTCACTCAAGCTGACAGTCTTGACAGGGAACTGAGCTGCTGCCTGAGTTAACACAGCTCTCTGGATTTGAACATCTTCCCTCACAACAGTCTGAATATTACCTAGTTTGCAGACAGCCTCACGCAAACTAAGAAAATTCAAGAGGATGTAAAACTACAGATGAGATATATTTAGCAAATAAATGGCTCATTAGCATCAAAGGGGCTATTTGTGAGACAGTAGCAATCTAACCTTATTATAGCCTAAGGCGTGAGAGCAACGGTAGAAAATCTGTAACATTATAAGTCAAAAATAATGTAAAAGACAGATAACAGTTAAACATAATCAGAATTATTTCTTCTACTAAATAGAGAAGAAAAAGAAGTTCTTATTGTCCTTTCTTGCCCATTTCCTGATGACTTCTTGCTATCAGCTTATGCCAGTTACCTCAGATGTGATCGCTGGGCTGGAGTCACAAATTCGTTCATGATGGGGTAAACTAAAAACATCAGGAACATTTATTTTCCAACAAAAATAGATCTTAGTAACAACTAAGTCTGAATTCTTGTTCATGTAGCAATTGTACCTGAAGATTCTGCAGAGTTCATCATTGCAAAAATTTCTTCAGTCTGCTAGTCAGTGTCCGAGTGAGTGCTACAGCAAACCTTCTATAAATTCAGAGCTCCAGATGTCCTCTTGTCAGAAAATGCAATTTTTTTTTAGTTGTTTAATTTTATTTCTTCCTCAAAGACAATTTTCTTCTCTAACTATTTTAAAATATTTAGTACTAATGGAAAATTATCCACAAGGATGGTTTTCAGTTTATGTACTTAACACATTCCAGTCATCTTTTATACAAATAATGGCATACTTTTCTTACTTTGAGCTGATTTCTGATGAATTTCCATGTACAGTGAATCTATCAGCATTTTTACTATTAATTCTCATTACCCAGTTAGGGTAATTAGGTAAAATGAATCTTGCTTTTACACATAAACTAATACTGACCTTCAGAGTTACTTTCATGGTTAAAAAGAAAGGGAAAGTCTTACTAGACTGCAAAGGTCAGAACTGAGAGCATAACAATTTGGCTTTTTAGAGAAAATATATAAATGATTTTAATAAAAATAAGACATTAAAAAAAAAAAAAGATAGACATACCTACTCCTTGTTCTTCCTGGCAATTTAGACAAAGTTTCAAATCCAGAAACAGCTGGTAAGGAGCAGTACAGAGGTTACTGAGAGAATTCAAAGATGCATCCTGAGGCACAACTGAGTGACTGAGTGGTGTCTGAGTGTTCTGTTGGCCATGCACGATGTGTGTGATGTTACATTTTGGAAGAAAGCCCCAGGATTTTTTTTTTTAACTTTTCCAAACGTCAGCTGTAGTAATTTTCAAGGCATGTGAAATATTTCATTCTCATTGTGAAATTCATGGCTAGCCTTTGCGAATGAAGATTTGGGAAGGCTCTATCCACAATTGTTACAGCATTGTGAAATAACACAAGCTATATATCATGACTCTTGCCATCCTGTGCTCTCAAGCGTAGGTCCTTGACAATTAAAAGTTCCTTTGTATGAATAACCATGTCCATAACAATAATGATTTCATCAACAACTCTGAACTGTTCTCTGAGTGCCAATGCACACAATGAAAAACTTAGAACTAGGGTTTTGTTGTGGTGGGAGCTCCTTCCCCTGCTAACCTTAGTGAGAAACCATGCCAAGGAGCTGGGGGAAAGCAGTATTTTAAAAAGATAATATCTATTGCATCTCAGATTGTAATACAAGTCTCCTTAAGTGTATCTGTGTAAACAATACAGGCTTTCAAGTTTTTAAAAAAAAACAGTGAGACTGGAGTACTTCTTACAGGAAAACTTTCTTCCCATTGGCTACCTAACCAACTCTTTCAACTGTGTCCATTCTTGTTGGATAAGTATTAAAGAGTTAAAATGAAAAACCATGAGACACAGAATGGTGATACCTTATTATGAACTTCCCTATCATGATAAACACTTTTATTCCAGTCTTTTATTCATTAAAAGATAATAAGTTAGAGTTATGCAAACACAGATAAAATTGATAAATTAAAAAAGCTGTTCCAGTTAATACCATCACAATGGAGAAAACTCTGAATAGTCCAAGATTTAATTTGAAGATTTTAAATGTACAGTATTTATTTTATTTAAACACCATCCTGTTTAAAACTTTACTTCTTTTATTAAATAAATGAAACAGTATAAAAATACATCTCAAATGAAACCATATGCTTCACTTCTGTCAAAATTTTTTTTTAAAATATCTTTTTCAAAACATTTATTTTGGTGAAGACCTTAAACACAACATTTTTTAAATTATGTAAAATTTAAGTTACATAAAGAATCCTAAAAACTCAAGGGAGGACAATCTCGGAACAAACCATCCCACACTGACTCATAAAGGTGAGTGCAATGTGACAGGAGAACTTCGTCACAAACTTTCCAAAGCTTCCTCTTTGCTTACGGCAATGCATTTCTGTGTTTAAGTTATTTTTTCCATAAAGAAGTGCATTTGAGCAATAACAAGAAGTTTGTAATTTGTCCTTGCTTGGACATGAATCTCTAGGAGCTGCCAAGTTCCACATTTACTCACAGACTGAATAGAAAACTGCAGCTGTGTCTAAAATTTATATGATAAATGACATAGTCTTACAAAACTCATTGAATCAAAATGTAACCAAAATAGTGGTTTGCAAATCCAACTCCTCTTTGTAAATCCAGTTCTTATCTTCTGTTGTTTTTCATTACCGTATTTGAACTTTTTTCAGTAGGAGAGAGATTCAAAGATTCAAAATTGGAAGTCTATGCATTTAGTGGAAATAGTAAAATGAATAGGCACTGCTGTAGGTCCACATTTAAACTACTTAGAAAAAGTCTACATAAGAAGCTGTAACTTTATACAAAAAGGAGATTTAATTTATTATTTCTTTGTAGCGTCATTCTTCGTTTCAACATGTAGAAAGTGTACAATGATCTGGTAACATTTTACAGTTTGCACAGGTGTAATGGATCATGAATTCAAGGAATGTGAACAGTTAGTTTAGAAACATCTATAAGAGTCAACAGTTACATGGTTTTTTACTGTAAAGATATATTGGTCTGCTGGCACCTTTGGCTTGAGATACTCAGAATATTAGTTTATGTTTTAAGCTTACATGATCTTCAGTCGCCATGTCTGAAAAAACACGTTCTTCAGAGCTGCACAGGAGTTTACAAATGCTAACTGAGGCTCTCTGATCAGAAATATTAAACAAACATGTTGATGAAGATAGAGGTACAACTGCTTGACTATTGCACACATTACATGATAGACAAATGACAGAAATGCAAAAGGTTTCCCGAGTTCTAGCTCTTGGTCCAACAGTTCAACCATTAAAAATCTTCCTTTTAACATAACTGGAGCCTTTAATGCTTGCAATAAACTATCTTTTCGGAACAGTATGACTTAACAGTTTGATTTTTTTTTAATTAATATGGTTTTCAAATCAACTTAGTTATCTGCTGTAACTGATCATCTGTTCCGGAAAAGGAGAAAAGGTTTTTGATGCGACCTTATGATGTGAAACTCTTTGTTTAACCTGGCAGGATTTCTTCAC